ATCACCTGTAGGCCTGGCCAAGAAAGGGGAATAAAGAGAGATATGTTATCCTGTGATCTGGCTACACTGCTGAATCTTGAAGCTCACAAATGAGCTCCCCTCTATATACCAAGAAACAAAAAAAACAAAAAAAAACAAACAAACAAACAAACAAAAAAAAAAACAGAATTTTTTCAATCCTTAAACATTAATGACAGATTCTGAACAATTACTGTCTTAAACTACTGTGTATTTACTTTTTTAGTTGTTTAAAAGTTGAAGGAATATATCCAGAAATTAAGAGTTCTTTGTAGTCACCTGTCTTATAAAGACTTACAGAAGAACTCATATTGCAAAATGGGCTGGTAAGATTAAGAAGGTCCTTTACATAAAACTTGAGGGCAGTTGGGGAGATAGCTCAGGGGCATAAGCACCTGCCTGGCAAGCACAGAGTCCTGAGTTTCATCCCTGGTGTAAGAACCACCCCCCATAAAAACCCCACAAAATACCTTGTGGGCTACAAAAGTCCATAAGAAGTTAGGGGTATGAATACATGAAAGAAGATAAACTTTTGGAGGCAAGACAAATATTTTTGTAAGTTTTCTGGAATAGATTTTTCACACTACCTTATTTTTCTGGCCATCTTCTGTACCATATGCATCTTTATTATCTGGTTAATGTGTTCTGTGAAGGTGTTAATATAAGCTAAAGTTTAGGGAGAAAATGTAGAGAAAACAGAATTGTGCATGCCGGAAAAGAAAGGATCAAAATGAGTGGGCTTGGGAGAGAAGAGAGAGTATGAGAAGAAAGAAATCTTTAGAAATAGAATTTTTGAAAATATGAGCAACCTTTTTTTATTCCTCCTCTAAGTGACTTTTTCACTATAATTGGTCTTGGAGGTTTTGAGAAAAACATAAGAAAATAAAGGAGGGAGAAAGGAAGGGAGAGAGGAACCAAGGAAAGAACAAATAAAAGAGCAAATAAGGGCAAAAAGGGAAGGGGAAAGGGAAGAGAAGGAAAACCAGGAATATTTTCAGGCCTTAAATTAGAAATAACCTAGGGTTTACTCATAAGGATGAAGGCTGTAGAGTGTATAATTATCATATGTTAAATAAGAAACTGAGTTTAAGATACTTTTGCCAGTCAGCTTTGTGCATAAGTAAAAATAGAATAAGAACCTATAGCAAAGAGTTATTTAAAACTTAACAATTCAGTCCATTTCGTATCTGTGTATTCAAAGTGGTTAGGATAGATATATAGTTACATTCTCTTAATGAATAGAGGGATTTGTTCTAATGGTGTTTGTAAATAGGATATCAT